AAAAAAAAAAGAAAAGTTTTTGGTTGTTTTAGTAGGGGAGGTAAATCCGATCCCTCTTACTTCATCTTGGCCAAAAGCAGAATTCCAGAGAATGTATTTGAATTGATAATGAATCTGCAGAGCTCTGTGAGGATATTCTTTGAGACTTTGTACAAATGTGCATACCTTAGGAAGCTCCCAAACCTCTCCCCAACTTTGAAGGCAGTTGGTCATTCACACCCCAGTGACACGCTGTTGGCAAGCAGAATTCTTTACACAGAATTCTTCACCTATATGAGCTTTCCTGTGGGCAGCTAGCCTCATTCATTCCCCCTGGTCGGCACCTGGTGGAGAGTCTGGCAGCTGCTGTTGAGTTGATGAAAGAGTTGGAGGGCAGGAGTCATTGTCACAGAGGTGAAAGGAGATTACTGAATGGGCATAAGAGACTGCCCAGAACTCTTCCCTTATCTGTGCATTTTGTCTAACACCCACTTCTAGCTCTGAAGTTGAGAGGTAAGCCCTCCTCTTCTTTCTCCTGCTGCTGCTCCGACACTGCCAAGGGCAGCAGCCCAAAGGCAGCAGGCAGGACAAGAGTCCAACTGGCAGAGGCTACCTCAGGAAGGAGCTGCTGCATGGCCCAGCAGCATTCCTCTGGCATGTGGCTCAGCGCCTCCCTAGTGTCATGCAGGGAGGGTAAGGCCCACTCCGGAGTGGTAGAGGACTATGTTCCTAGACCTGACTCAGCTGCTTACCTGCTGTGTACCACCATGCACTGCGGTGAGCTCCTCTGGGCCTCAGCATAGTCATCTATTAAGTGGGCTATATATCCTTTGTCTTGCCCCTCTCACAGAGCTGTTACAATGCATACAAAGAAGGTTTGCTCTAGTAGAATCTTGAATAAAACTATTATTATTTTCTTAGGTATTCCTTTTTTGTTTTGCAATTTTTGGCCAGGGCCAGGTTTGAACCCACTACCTCTGGTATATGGGCCCAGCGCCCTATTCCTTGAGCCACAGGTGCTGCCCAGTATTCTTTTTTTTGAGACAAGGTCTCTGTCACCCTGGGTAGAGTACTGTGGTGTCATAGCTTACAGCAACCTCAAACTCTTGGGCTTAAGTGATTATCTTGCCTCAGCCTCTCAAGTAGCTGGGACTACAGGTGTGCGCCACTGTGCCTGGCTAGTTTTTCTATTTTTAGTAAACAACGAGGTCTTACTCTTGCTAAGGCTTATCTCGAACTCCTGAGCTTGAGCAATCTACCCGCCTCAGCTTACCAGAGTGCTAGGATTACAGGCCTGAGCCACCATGCCTGGCCTTCTTAGTTCTTAGGTATTCTTATCAAACAAATGAAAATGTTAAAGTGATTATATTTTCTGTTTTTTTTTTTATTTTGAGACAAAGTCTTTCTCTGTTGCCCTCCGTAGAGTGCTGTGATGTCACAACTTATAGCAACCACAAACTCTTAGGCTTAAGCAATTCTCTTGCCTCAGCCTCCCAAGTAGCTGGGACTACAGGCACCCGCCACAACACCTGGCTATTTTTTGTTGTTGTTGCAGTTGTCATTGTTGTTTTTTAGCTGGCCTGGGCCAGATTCGAATCCACCAGCCTTGGTGTATATGGCCAGCACTTTACTCACTGAGCTATTGGGTAAAGCTATATATTTGTCTACTTATTTATTTGGCATTCATCAGTCTCCCCTCTTGTAACCTTTCTAATCTGGAGAACAGGGGGTGGCTCTCAGAGAGTTAAATGGGAAGGATAACTTTTTCTCCAGAGAAGAAAATTTCATATTTGAGGACAACTGTAAATCTTTGGGGTTCATTTACTTTGAAGTCAAATGTGACTGTGACTGTGCCGGCATGTTTTAGTTGCAGAAGAACACGGTCACTTATGGTCTGAGGAGCAGCCTGCTCACACTCCCCATGTGGGGGCCGTGTACCTGAGTGAGGAGGAGCCCCCACATGACCTGATGGGCCAGGACGTGGCCACAGAAGAGGCTGATGTGGTGCTGGACACCCACGGCGATCGCATGGTGATGCTTTCTGTGATTCCTGGGGAGGCTGAGGATAAGCTGAGCTCAGAGCCCAGCGGTGGCACTTGTGGTGCTGGAGGAGGGGAGGACTCGAGGTGCAACCTCCGAGAAAGCCTCTACTCTCTGGACAGTGCTGGAGCTCACTTCCCTGACAGAGAAGAGGAGTATTACACAGAGCCTGAAGTGGCAGAATCTGACCCAGCCCCGACAGAGGACTCTAACAACACTGAAAGTCTGAAATCCCCAAAGGTGAACTGTGAGGAGAGAAATGTGACGGGATTAGAAAATTTCACTCTGAAAATTTTAAATATGTCACAGGTAAGAAAAAAATTATGTAGTACTTTTCCTTGGTTTCAGTTTTATCATTTGAAAGCATCATCTTTGAAGCTGGGTGTGGAGCTGTATTTCCAAGCTGCTCAGGAGTCTGGAGTTGCAGTGCCCTCTACTCCACTGTTCTAGCCAGGGCTATAGAGCAAGACCCTGTCTTAAAAACCAAAACCAAGGCTTGGCGCCCCTAGCACAGTGGTTACGGTACTGTCTACATACACCAGGGCTGGCAGGTTCGAGCCTGGCCTGGGCCAGCTAAACAATAATGACAATCACAGCAAAAAAATAGCTGAGTGTTGTGGTGGGCTTCTGTAGTCCCAGCTGCTGGGGAGGCTGAGGCAAGAGAATCGCTTAAGCCCAAGAGTTTGGGGTTGCTGTGAGCTGTGATGCCACAGCACTCTACTGAGGGTGACATAGTGAGACTCTGTCTCAAAAAAAGAAAAAGAAATAGAGGAGCAGGATGAATTTAGGCTGCTTACATAAGAGAAGTTCTAACTCTGAAAGCGGTGATTGCTTTTAATGCAGCGGTGAGTCTATGGCGTGTTTAGTGTACATAGCTCTTCCAAGGACAGGGTCAAGGCTGGCCTCACATCCCCTCCTGAGTGCCCAGTGGACACTATGCCTCAGGTCTGCAGCACTGTTTCACAGGTCACACACTTGACTGGGAGAGAGCAGTTTAAATGGCCTGAGATACAGTTTAAACAGGTGGTGGCAGGGATGGTACATCCTTGACTTGAACTAACCTTTGGGCAAATATATTGATCCTGCTTAGTTAATCCTTTGGTTAGTTAGTTCATCCTTTGGTTTGCGAAATGAGAGTTTGAGCTTGGGATCACAGTGCTCTAATAATTCCATTGTAGATTGTTTGGGATGTACAATTTGAAGGTAAAGGTAATGGCCGTACCCTGTGGGTAACTTAGTTCAGGCATACCTTGGATCTATTGCAGGTTTCATTCCAGACCATCATAGTAAAGTAAATATTTCAATAAAGTGAGTCACATGAATTTTTTGGCTTCACAGTGCACAAAAAGTTATGTTTATACTGTACTGTACTGTATTAAGTATACAATAGCATTATGTCTAAAAAAATAATGTGCTTTTTTTTTTTTGAGATAGAGTTTCATTATGTCACCCTTAGTAGAGTGCTGTGGTGTCACAGCTCACAGCAACGTCAAAATTCTTGGGCTTCAATGATTTTCTTGCCTCAGCCTCCCAAGTAGCTGGGACTACAGGTGCCTACCACAATGCTTGGCTATTTTTTTGTTGTAGTTGTCATTGTTGTTTAGCAGGCCCAGTCTGGGTTTGAACCCACCTGCCCCTGTGTATGTGGCCGGCACCCTAGCCACGGAGCTACGGGCACTGAGCCAATGTACCTATTTTAATTTAAAAATACTTTATTGGGTGGCACCTGTGGCTCAAAGGAGTAGGGCGCTGGCCCCATATGCTGGAGTTGGGGGGTTCTAATCCAGCCCCAGCCAAAAACTGCAAAAAAAATTAAAAAACTTTATTGACTGGGCGTGATGGCCCATTCTTGTAATCCCTGCACTTGGGAGACTAAGGTGGGAAGATCACTTGAGGCCAGGAGTTCAACATCAGCCTGAGCAACATAGTGAGATGCAGTCTTTACAAAAATTAAAACTGTTAGCTGGGCATGACATGTGCCTGTAGTCCCAGCTACTTGGGAGGCTGAAGCAGGAGGTCACTTGAGCCCAGGTTTTGAGGTTGCAGTGAGCTATGATGATGTAGTCTAGCCCGAGCAACAGACCCAGACTCTGTCTCAAAAACAACAACACAAACCTTTATTCTGAAAAATGCCACTGATCATCTGATCTTTGGTGAGTCATAATTTTTTGCTTGTAGAGGAACTTGCCTTGATGCTTATGGATGTTGACTGATCAGGGTGGTAGTTGTTGAGGGTTGAGGTAGCTGTGGCAATTTCTTAAAATAAGAAAACAGTGAAGTTTGCCACATTCATTGACTCTTCAATTAATGACAGATTTCTCTGTAACATGTGATCCTGTTTGGTAGCATTTTACTACAATAGAGTCAAAGATGGAGTCCATACTCTCCAACTCTCTTGCTGCTTTGTCAGCTGCGTTTATGGAGTACTGCAAATCCTTTGTTTTCGTTTTAGCAATATTCACAGCATCTTTACCAGGAATAGATTCTATCTCAGGAAACCATTTTTTGCTCATCCATAAGAAGCACTACAACAGAGTCTCAGTATGTCACCCCCATCATCCATTCAGGTTTGACCAGGAGATTGCAGCAATTCAGCATATCTTGGGGCTCTACTTCTAATTCTATTTCTCTTGTTATTTCTGCCACATCTGTAGTTACTTCATCCACTGAAAGTCTTGAACCCCTCAGAGTCATCCATGAGAGTTGGAATCAGCATCTTCTAAACTATTTATGTTAGTATTTTGACCTTTTCTCATGAATCACAGATACTCTTAATGAGATCTAGAATGGTGAATCTTGTCAAGGTTTTCAATTTACTTTGCCCACATCTGTCACGGGAATAACTATTTTGGCAGCCATAGCTTTATGAAATGTACTTCTTATGTAATATGACTTAAAGAATAAATGTTGTATTAGCAGGCCTGAAAACAACATTAATCTCCTTGTATATCTCCATCAGAACTCTTGGGTGACCAGGTGCATTGTCTGTGAGTGGTAACATTTTGAAAGGAATCTTGCTGGGCATGGTGGCCTGTGCCTGTAATCCTAGCACTCTGGGAGGAGTGGATTGCTCAGGTGGATTGCTTGAGCTCAAGAGTTTGAGAACAGTCTGAGCAAAAGTGAGACCCCATCTCTACTAAAAACATAAAAAAAATTAGTCAGGCACGGTAGGGCAAACTTATAGACCCAGCTACTTGAGAGGCTGAGTCAAGAGGATTGCTTGAACCCAGGAGTTTGAGGTTGCTGTGAACTATGACACCATGGTACTCTAGCCTGGGGCAACAAGTGAAAGTCTGTCTCAAAAAAAAAAAAAAAGCTTTTTTTTTTCTTGAGCAGTAGGTCTCAACAGTGGGCTTAAAATATTCTGTAAACAGATGTGCTATCATGTGCTATCATCTAGGCTTTATCATTTCTAGAGCATAGGCAGAGCAGATTTAGCATAATTCTTTAAAGGCCTTAGGATTTTTGGAATGCTAAATGACTTAAAGTTACCAGCTATAGTTTCTTTCTTTTTTTTTTTTTTTGAGACAGAGCCTCAAGCTATCCCCCTGGGTAGAGTGCCATGGCATCACGCTCACAACCTCCAACTCCTGGGCTCAAGCGAGTCTCCTGCCTCTGCCTCCCAAGTAGCTGGGACCACAGGCGCCCGCCACAATGCCTGGCTATTTTTTGGTTGCAGCCATCATTGTTGTTTGGTGGGCCCTGGCTGGATTCGAACCCACCACCTTAGGTGTATGTGGCTGGTGCCTTAGCCACTTGAGCCACAGGCGCCGAGCCATCAACTTGCTTTTCTTAGTAAGCTTAATCATTTCTAGCTTTTGATTTAACTTGAGAGGTGTGTGATTCTTCATTTCATTTGAACAGTAAGAGGCCATTGTAGGGTTATTAATTGGCCTAATTTCAATATTGTGTCTCAAGGAATAGGGGAGCCTGAGGAAGGGGAGACAGACAGGGGAAAGGCCAGTGAGTGGAGCAGTCAGAAAACAGAGTTATCAAGTAAGTTGCCATCTTATATGGGCATGGTTTACGGTGCTCAGGCAATGGTGACATCAAAGATCACTGATCCCAGACCCTTGATTACTATGACAGATATAATAATAATGAAAAAGTTGCAAATATTGCAAGAACTGTCAGAATATGACATGAGACATGAAGTGAGCACGTGCTGCTGGGAAATGGCACCGGTAGGCTTGCTTGGTGAAGGATTGCCACTCACCTTAGACTGGTAAAAAGGCCATCTCTACAAAACACAATGGACAGAGCATAATAAAATGAGGTATGGCTGTATTCGAATTGACTAGTTATGAAAAAGATTAACATAGCTCTGTAGTAATATTAGGAAAGCATATTGGAAAGTTTATAACTTGTCATTTGATGCTACTTTTCTGCTGATGAGTGGATTCATTACAGTTCAAAATTCAAGATCTTACTGAAGGCTGGGCGCGGTGGCTCATGCCTGTAATCCTAGAACTTGGGAAGCCGAAGCGGGTAGATTGTCTCAGCTTATGGGATTGAGACCAACCTGAGCAAGAACGGGACCCCCGACTCTAAAAATAGCCGGGTGTCAGTGCCTGTAGTCCCAGCTACTTGGGAGGCTGACGCAAGAGAATCACTTGAGCCAAGAGTTTGAGGTTGCGGTGAGCTATGACACCATGGCACTTTACCAAGTGCCACAGAGTGAGACTCTGTCTCAAAAAAAAAACAAAAAAAACAAAAAAACAATCTTATTGAAGGTGTACAGTATAGGCTCCATCTTCTCCCTGTCACCACCCACTGTTTCTACATGTTTCCCATTTCTTGGGTATCCTTTCAGAAAAATGTATGCATACATTTACTGCTAACTTTAATACTTGTTTCTTCTACCACAGGACCTTATGGACTTTCTAAACCCAAACGGTAGTGACTGTACTCTAGTCCTGTTTTATACTCCCTGGTGCCGATTTTCTGCCAGTTTGGCCCCTCATTTTAATTCTCTGCCCCGGGCATTTCCAGCTCTTCATTTTTTGGCTCTGGATGCATCTCAGCACAGCAGGTATCTTTGCGTGGTGGGGTTTATGCTCAGCATTTGGCTGATGGTTGCAGTTATTTGGAGGTTATAATTAGTTAAGTTAGAAGCAGAAGAGGTGAGCATAAACTTTGCAACCAGACTGAAGGAAGGGAACAGCAACAGTGAGTAGTGAGGATTGTCAAACTCCTAAGGGAGCTGGTGGTGTCACTTTCTGGAGGCCTCTTATAGAAAGAGGCCTGTTCTCTGTGTGGTAGGTTTAAAGGTGGCAGGTGAGGGTAGCTATGGCAGGGGAGGAGCCAGAGGACTTTTTAGGGTCCTGACCAGACTGAATTCACACAACTGGTATCACGGTATGATATTTCTTTGTGACTTAACCTGCAGTTTAGGTCCCCCCCCACCGCCCCGGCAACATAGCTCTCAGCACCCTTGTTCTGTGTCTACTCAGGATTTCTTTCTTTTCTTTCTTTCCCTTTCCCTCCTTTCCTTATTTCCTCTTTTTTTTTTTTTTGGAGACAGAGTCTCACTTTGTTGCCCTTGGTAGAGTACTGTGGTGTCACAGCTCACAGCAACCTCTAGCTCTTGGGCATAGGCAATTCCCTTGCCTCATCCTCCTGAGTAGCTGGGACTACAGGTGCCCGCCACAATGCCAGGCTATTTTTTGTTGCAGTTTGGCCGGGGCTGGGTTTGAACCCGCCACCCTGAGTATATGGGGCTGGCACCCTACTCACTGAGCCACAGGCGTTGCCCTACTGTTCCACAGTAGACAATAAAGTAATGTATTAATTTAGCTCTTTACAATGACATTTGCCCTTATTCTCATTTCACATTTTTTT